TCGTAAACTTATTTTATTTCAGCTAGTTGTCAAGGCAACATTTCTCATAATAAAAATAATAAAAACTATGTAGACATTAAAAATAAAACAAAATAACTGAAGTAAAATTAAAATAAAAACTAATTCAAAATATGAATAAAAAACTATAATAGCATCTCAAAGATCCTAAAACCACACTGATTCTTACACAGAACTAGATAAAAAATCCTAAATGACCATTTTTATGATGACCGTACAACACATACTGAATGAATGTTTTAATACTGTGTGATAGTTCACTCAAAACCATCATTCTATCACTTATTCCCATTCACATCGTTCAAAACTTGTATGACTTTCTTTCTTTTGTGGAACCTAAAAGAAGATATTTTGAAGAATGTTGGGATCCAAACAACACTGAACCCCATTGACTTTCACTGTATGAACAACAACAAGAGAGACTAATGACAGATTTCAGTTTTTTTTGGGTGAACTATCCCGGCTAAGCACTTGTTTTGAACATACTGTACTACTATTTAAAAGCAGTATACACTATGCAGTATGCAGTATGCACTGGAGTTTCGGAACACAGCCGGGATTTGTGCTTCAAAAGGAGGAAACTGAAAGTGGGAACAGAAGCTGCAGTCGGAGGTCAGAATGAACTAAAAACACAGATGTGTGTGCAAATGTGAACAGCACTTACATTCACTCACAATGACAGAGCGATTCTGCGTGTTTAACACGATGAAAGAGCCGCTAGGGTCTCGAAACGTCTTGTTTCTGCAGATTTCACATTCTACAAATATTTAGAGCTGTTTAACTCTTCCATCACCAGTGCTAGTGCTGCTAGTGACTTTACTCAGTGATCAGAAGCACCAAGCCAATGCAAGTTTATTTGTATAGCACTTTTCACAATGCAAATCATTGCAAAGCGGCTTTACAGAAAATTAAAGTGTCTACATTATATTTAGTTGTAGCTCATCAGTGGTGACTATCTCAAGTTGATGTCCATATGGCAGAAATGTACAAGCAGTTAATGACATGTAATGCAAAATTTGGTAGCTTTTTATATTCTGAAGGTTTGCTCGGATTTCACACTGATTTATACAACATTTTATTCCTAAAAACATGGTGAAAATGTGTTGGTTTTCTGTCTGTTTACTGTATTTTCTATGGAAGCTTGTTTTCCGCCACAGAATAAAAATAAAGGCAATTGCGACTTTTTTCCCCTCAATTCTCGCAAAAAAAAAGATACAATTGCTAGATATAAACTCAGAATTCGGAGAAAAAAAAGCTTCAGAATCGCAAGAAATAAACTCAGAATTTCTACTTTTTCTTGCAATTCTATATTTTTGTTTCTGCCACGGAATAAGAAATAAAAAAGGTAATTGCGACTTTTTTTCCTCTCAATTGCAAGTTTACATATTTCACGATTCTGATTTTAAATCTTGCAGCTCAGAGTTTATATCCACGTTTGAGTTTGCATCTCGCAAATGTCTGTTTTGTGATATGAAGTGTCACAATTACCTATTTTATTTTTTATGCCATTGTGATAAAAAGAGAAACCCCTCGTTTTAAAACCTTTAATGTATCAACAAATCCAAACAGGAATTTTGAACCTGACTTTATCTTCAGATTTTCACCTGTAGTGTCTTGTCGAATCTGTGAGGAATATTGATAGATTAAAGCAGTAACCCCCGTGAAGCCGTGGTTTACAGTGAATTTATAACAGCTAAGGGGCGTTGTTAGGCACCACGTGGAGCTGTTATAAATTCACTGTAAACCACGGCTTCACGGGGCTTACTGCTTTTATAAAACGGTTATTCCATATACCTAGTAAGGTTTCACAAAATAAAACAGAGCAAATAAAGTGTAATGATAATAAAAACAGTATTCTTCCACCAAACAATGTAGCTCCTCAGAAACAGTTGTGGTTGCAACAAAGTGGTTGCCGAGCAACACACAGTAGTAAACAAAGGTTCGAACGTGGCTCAACCAAACAGAATCAAGGACCGGAACTCTCCGTTTTATAAAAAGCCAAAGCCAAACACAGGCGAGAATCTGTGAAAACAGGTGAGTTTTAATCAGAAATCAACCGTGAGACTCACTCTCATATATACACATACAGCAGTAATATTACACAGACGAGTTTAGATACATATTGTACATGTTTCAGACTCCAAACCATAAAGCGTCTTCATCACAGTCTTCCTCGGAAGGCATCGGGAGCAGATGGGAGTCTGGACGCCACACGCGTGTGAAATGGAATGGAAGAGTCGCAGGACCCTCAGATGTAGAGAGAGCCGTCGGCCGGCCCCACGTATCCCACACCGATCAGCAGCACGTCGATCAGCGTCCAGATGCCCAGCCCTCCGAAGCTGAAGAGCTTCCCCAGACCTTCCCTCCACTGGCCCAGATAGAAGCGGTCCGCTCCGAAGCCGCCCAGAGCGATGCTGCGCACACAAAGCGTCCGCTTACACAGGGTTCCTACACACTTTCCATTTCAAAACACCATACTTCGACAGACTCACATTTACAAACCTCTCAGTAGATTTTCGGCACATATTTAACTTACACTACCGGTCGAAAGTTTTTTACAGGAGTTTCTTAGGCTCATCAAAGCTGCATTTATTTGATGAAAAATACAGGAAAAAATTTAAAATTGTGAAATATTATTATGATGCAAAATAACGTTTTTCTATTTTAATATACATTAAACTGTAATTTATTTCTGTGATGCAGCGCTGAATTTTCAGCATCATTACTCCAATCTTCAGTGTCACATGATCTTCAGAAATCATTCTAATTTATTATCAGTGGGGCTGGTTATACGTCACAATAGCTATTGTAAATATTTGTTTTAAACCAGGAAGGCGAGCCAATGGATATCACACAAGCAACGTGCAAACTTTGTGCAAGAGTTATGCGGTGAACCTCTTTATCTCAGTCGATTCACTAGAAAGTGAAAGTGAAAGTAAAAACTGACGGCGCTTTCGGCATCTGACGCTGCATTAACGGCGCATATTCTCTCAGAGACAACGAGACGAATCTCCTTCGTATGCTGATAATGGTATATAGCTAAATGTTTTAATGTACTCCCTTAATATTTCTCTTGTGGCCCGAACATAGGCTAGTGGGAAAAACAATAAAAAGAAATAAATAAGAAACGTAATTCGTGTTAAACAGGTTGTTTTTTTCTTTTTGAAAAAGTCGGTGCTTGAAATAAAGCTTTTTCATTGATGATTGCAGTGTTAATCATTTTAAATATATGCCTATAATTAATTGTATATTAAACCTGTTTTGAAAGACCTTTTTAAAAACATTTTCAATGAGGAATAAGCTAGCCTAATCTTATGCGTCAGTTATGCGGTGATGCGCTATGAAATTATTGCGGGGCAAATTAATTGTAATATTAATTTAATAATAAAAGTAACTTAATAATAGGCCTAATAGGCTAATAAGAAGAATGTAACAGGCCTATGTTAATTGAAAATGCCAAATTAGATATAACTAAAGTGTAGGCTATAAAATTATTTTATTCAGAAATGTCATGTTTGTGATTTTTATTTTATTTGTTAATTCGTTATTTTAATTAATAGGCCTACAAATTAGGAAACAGGTGTGGTAATCGCCGGCGTCAGTCACAACAATTATTTAAAAGAAAATAATAATAAAAAAATAGGCTAATCTTTGTGAGGACGACTGGCAACCGCTGGTCTTAAATTCTTTAGACACCGCATACCAAACGAGTTTGAACACAGACTGAAAACATTGACTGAGCTCAAATGACATTCATTCATAATCGGCCCGACAGTAGTGTGGGCGTCAGCGTTAACGCTTGACGGAGGGCGTTTCTGAAGCTTGCTGCTGACGACCGTCATAGTGACAACAGTTAATCACATTAGTCTTCTGGTGTTGCATGAACGCGATTGGCTAGCGTCTGCGCTAGGGTATTTGCATAAGGCGATCTGATTGGCTGACGCCTGCGTTGGCGCATGAAAAGTTTTCAACTTCAACTTTCAATGTCCGCTGCCTACGCCCCTGATTCTAATAATAAATCAGCATATTAGAATGATTTCTGAAGATCATGTGACACTTTATACTGGAGTAATGATGATGGAAATTCAGCTTTGCATCACAGAAATAAATTATATTTTAAAGGATATTAAAATAGAAACTATTATTTTATATTGTAATAACATTTTGGAAGATTACTGTTTTTTTCTGTATTTTTGATTAAATGAATGCAGCCTTGATGAGCAGAAGACACTTCTTTAAAACACATTACAAGTCTTACTGATCACAAACGTTTGACCGGTAGTGTGTATAGTTCGTACAGAAGTGTTTTCAGCTTTATATTTGGTATATATTACAGTCATCTGTATCATTGATATTCTTGAAGTGATCATAGAGACTTTAAAAAAATATATTAATAATAATAAAAAATACAGACTTTTTTTTGCATGCACACAAGAAACTTTTTTGTGCCCTCGAGAAACTATTCATGTGCATGGGAATTTTTTTGCATGCTGCTTACACAATTTCTAGTTTTATATAAGCTATTTTCTTTGTGCATCACTGCCATCTTGATATGAATAAAGCGAGAGCATGCATGCACATGCACTAATAGAGATCTACTTGCTCAAAATGTGGCTTTCCTTATAGTAGTACCTCTAATATTAAGGCCTAATGTCCAATTTAGCCTCTGCGGTGGCGGAAAAACCATGACACCAAATGATGACATAATACGGCTGTGTGCATTGCCCTGTTTGCCAAGTTCAAGGGTCTATAAAAAAAGACTAGTATTGTAAAAGTGTTCAAAATGTGGCTTTCGTTTGGGCATTATGTCATATTTCAAGGCCTCTTTAACACATACTCTGTGATGACCAAAAGTCTGTATATTTTGTATTTTTGCAAAGCTCCTCGAGGCTATGTAATATGGTGCTAAGAATATCGTGAGAAGAAACCCAAAATGCAAAATGAAAAGTGCATCTTGCACCAAGTGCACCAGTCGTGTTTGACAATCACTAAACAGCTGCCATGAAAACACTTGTATGATAAACTTATTTTCATTAAATTCTTAAATTTCTATTATAAAAAGCTAAATAGGAAATACTAAATATGCAAATATTTTTCCATACTCTGCTTTCTTTTATCCATACTTTTCCAGACCTGGACAAAAGAACAGCTGACGGTACCCATTGACTTTCACAGTATTTTTGTTCATACTATGGAAGTCAATGGCTAAAGTCAACTGTTTGGTTCCCAACATTCTTCAAAATATCTCCTTTTGTGCTCAAGAGAAGAAAGAAACTCGGTAACACTTTCTATGAAGCCCATATTTATAATATATTATAAGGGTATTCTTAAGGCATTATATTATAATGAATGCATAATGCATAATAAAAAACGGTAACACTTTATTTTGATAGTCCACTTTAGACATTCTACTAACCGTAAGTAGCTTTGCAACAATAACTATAATTGCCTTAGTTATCATAATAGTTATGGTTATTATCGTTCTTGGGGTGAACAGGCCTCAACATAAAACCAGATCATGTTACACTGGAATTCATTTAGCATTATCATTAATATTATTATTAAAGACACCTTTAAACAAAAACAAAACAAACAATACTGCAACAGTCATAAAAACACGAGTTTGTTTGTCCATCACAGGATTCATGGAGCTTCTCCACACAAACACCCGAAGGTGAATTTAATCATAAATCAAATCCAGATGAAAGTACTGAAGCTCAAACGGATTTATTGCATCATACTAACACACAACTCTCTTGTTTATGATTGAAATGCATGTGAAGTGAATCACCTGAGGGCCAGAGCCCTGGACCACTTATATCCTCCTGTCCAGTTACAGAACAGACGCTTCTGAAACACTCGCTTCCCTGCGAACACAACACACACATCACACACACGAAGGAAAACAATGTGTTGGAAACCAAACAATTGCCGGAAGCCATTGACTTCTATAGTAGGGAAACAAATATAATGGTAGTCAATGGGGACCAGCAACTGTTTGGTTATCAACATTCTTCAAAATATCTTCTTTTGTGTTCAGCACAAGAAAGAAACTCATACAGGTTTAGAACAAGTTGAGGTAGAGAAAATTATGACAGAACTTTCATTTTTGGGTGAAATGGCCCTTTAAAGACTTCTCATGTTGGGTGAAATACTTTAAATGTGATGTAGTCGCATATGCAACCGCATACCAACACCATAGCAACAACCCAGAGTACCCTAGCAACCACATAGCAACACCCTAGCAACCACCTCAGGTATCCTAGCAACAGCATAGGAGCAACCTAGCAACCACATAGCAACACCCTAGCAACCACCTCAGGTACCCTAGCAACAGCATAGCAACACCTTAGCAACCACACAGCAACACCCTAGCAACCACCTCAGGTATCCTAGCAACAGCATAGGAGCAACCTAGCAACCACATAGCAACACCCTAGCAACCACCTCAAGTACTCTAGCAACAGCATAGCAACACCTTAGCAACCACCCAGAGTACCTTAGCAACCGCATAGCAACACCCTAGCAACCATCCAGAATACCTTAGCAATGTTTCTAAGCCATATGAATTTAAGCTTCCATTCTATCTGGTATTTCTAATCTATCTATCTATATCTATCTGTCTATCTATGACAGACTGTATTGCCTTCAAAACATTCAACCTTTAAGCTTTAAAACTACTTTAAACTTCAAACTATTTCAGACTGAAAACCATTAAACTTTTACAACTTTTTAAACTTTCTGTTCAGGCTTTCTCAAGCCAACTTAAAGTTTGTCTATCTATCTAGTTTGTGCTTACATTCATGCATCTTGCAGACGCTTTCCTCCTTACATTGTATTTAAGCTACACATTTGATCAGTTCATGCATTCCCTGGGAATCAAACCCATGATCTACTGTTTGAGCCTCAGTCTGTAGTCCTGCATTTATTTTTTTGTTTATGCACCAGTTTCCACCAGCACCAGTGTGTGAGTGTGTGTGTGTGTGTGTGCGTGTACGTGTGTGTGAGAGTGAGTGTGTGTGTGCGTGCGTGAGTGAGTGTGTGCGTGTGTGTGTGAGTGTATGAGTGTGTGCGCGTGTGTGTGAATGTGTGTGTGTGTGTGTGTGAGTGAGTGTGTGCGTGTGAGTGTGAGTGTGTGTGTGTG